ACGAGACTCCTATAAAACCAATGTTTTTAAAGACAGAACCTGCAATGAACTCCTATAAAACCAATGTTTTTTGACGATTTTTTTTAAAGATTTAATACACTACGGGACTTGAAACCAACGCGCTTCTCCATTGGATGCATATTAAACCAATGGATTTTTAACACAATATGTACTCCGTGGTTCGTACATAGCCAATGTGTGTGCTTTTTTTTTTTTGCTTTTCTTTTTTGTGGGGGGAGATAGAAGGATTGTTGTAACATGAAAGTGTAGTTAATAATAAAATATATAAACACGTAATGTTTAAAAATATGTTTCCACAACATAAATGTTATGATAAAATGTAAAGGTGCCTGGAAGGAAACAATATTGTAAACGGGGACACAAAAGTCAATCTCTTTGTTTTCTGTTCACGTCTTCTGGTGACATAAGAAGAAAAGTTTAAGAAAAGCAATTAAGCCTCAAAACACCATCCTGTCACACCCCTAACTCCGAATTAGGATGTTACTATCTTTCGAATCCGTAGTAGGACAGTTCTCCTATTATTCAGACGTGGCAATCCAATGAACTGAACGATCCAAGCTAGTATAGTACCCTGCATGAAATTCGATGACACTCGTATTAATTTGTGTGGCTGAAATGTCAGACCATGACACAAGACACGTATGTTTTTGTACAACATCCGTATATCGCACACTACTTCTACATCAAGTATGTTAAATGAATGAGGAATGAAATATATCTTTGAGTTAATATGTATTTATATAGTCATGACATCCCAAAGAGTAACTGACTAATCGTGACTCCATCCACCTGTCTCTCAAACTCAATATGACAAATTGCAATGTACCTGTGTTATTGATATTGGATTGTAGATACATTGGTTGTTAGACCTCTAGGTTCCTCAGATATTTGTAGAAAGAATAGACTTTATTTTCTATGAATATTATATAATACGTTGTAAAATGTGTCTTTTATTCAGCCGATTGGTTGAGTTAAGGTCTGTTCTTAGTGTGATACTATAGTCACTGAACCGTCATTTCATTTTATATGTTTATGAATTTTGATAGAAACCATTACAATTCATTCTTTGGTTTGGAAAAATTCAACGTAGATTAAAACATCATCACATATGCATGCACCAAGAAATTGATGTTTGTTCAAAGACCGCAAATGCTTCAACCTAATCCGGATCTATCTAATTAACTTTCATGTTTTGGAACGTGGGAGCTGATAGACGATTTGTTTCTTATGGGTAACACGTACCTGTAATGTGGTTTATCTAGGGTGATAATGGTGGTATCGATTACAGATATCTAATTAAACTGTTGCTATCGTTTATTAAATACGGCAAGGGCAAGAGTTTTACTAATGTCTAGCGTTATGGTAGGTGTCAAAAGAAATAAAAAAGAAGGAGAAAAATTCATCAATTTTAAGTATCACAAGACTGTACGATGAGCTGCTAAAACCTGTTTCATTATCACACGTCTGTATAGTTTACAAACGTAATGTGAAAATAGAAAAAATACAATATACACTGTCCGCACACTATTCAAATTTATTTTTACTCTTGAACCGATCTCCAGTTTCTATGCATGTGTGCTAGATTTATAGATACCCTGGATCTATTATCCTGTGAATCAATTTTCCAGTTTCTTGACTACGTGTCAGATTTGTCGATACCCTGGGAACAATTATTTCTGGAATAATTTTACAGTTTCTTGACTACGTGGCAGATTTATTGATACTCTGAGCTTCTTAAGAATAAGTATCCATATAACCCAAACGTTTATTTGAAAGAGTGCAGATTTATTCGAAAAAATCCTTAAATTTGTTGAAATATTGTTTAAAGGATCTGCATTTGCTAGCTTGTGTGTATGAGTTTAATGGTGTTTGTATGTGTATGTGTGTGTGTGTGTGTGTGCGTGCGCACTTATGTATTTTCGTATTCTTCTGGTTGTCAAGTTCACTTTTGATAGTATATGGCAAACAAAATAACAAGGACCGATATTTGACTTAATTATCTTAACTATTTCGCCTTAGTATTAGCTATCACTACAAAGTATTAACTATAGCCACAAAGTATTATCTATTACCACATAATATTAACTATCACACAAAGTATTAACTATAGCCAAAAAGTATTAAATATTACCACAGAATGTAAACTATCACTACAAAGTATTAACTATAGCCACAAAGTATTAAATATTACCACAGAATGTAAAACTATCACTACAAAGTATTAACTATAGCCACAAAGTATTAAATATTACCACAGAATGTAAACTATCACTACAAAGTATTAACTATAGCCACAAAGTATTAAATATTGCCACAGAATGTAAACTATCACTACAAAGTATTAACTATAGCCACAAAGTATTAAATATTACCACAGAATGTAAACTATCACTACAAAGTATTAACTATAGCCACAAAGTATTAAATATCACCACAGAATGTAAAACTATCACTACAAAGTATTAACTATAGCCACAAAGTATTAAATATTACCACAGAATGTAAACTATCACTACAAAATATTAACTATAGCCACAAAGTATTAAATATTGCCACAGAATGTAAACTATCACTTCAAAGTATTAACTATAGCCACAAAGTATTAAATATTACCACAGAATGTAAAACTATCACTACAAAGTATTAACTATAGCCACAAAGTATTAAATATTACCACAGAATGTAAACTATCACTACAAATTATTAACTATAGCCACAAAGTATTAAATATTAGCACAGAATGTAAACTATCACTACAAATTGTTAAATATAGCCACAAAGTATTAAATATTACCACAGAATGTAAACTATCACTACAAAGTGTTAACTATAGCCACAAAGTATTAAATATTGCCACAGAATGTAAACTATCACTACAAAGTATTAACTATAGCCACAAAGTATTAAATATTGCCACAGAATGTAAACTATCACTACAAAGTATTAACTATAGCCACAAAGTATTAAATATTGCCACAGAATGTAAACTATCACTGCAAAGTATTAACTATAGCGACAAAGTATTAAATGTTACCACAGAATGTAAACTATCACTACAAAGTATTAACTATAGCCACAAAGTATTAAATATTACCACAGAATGTAAACTATCACTACAAAGTATTAACTATAGCCACAAAGTATTAAAAATTACCACAGAATGTAAACTATCACTACAAAGTATTAACTATAGCCACAAAGTATTAAATATTACCACAGAATGTAAACTATCACTACAAAGTATTAACTATAGCCACAAAGTATTAAATATTGCCACAGAATGTAAACCATCACTACAAAGTATTAACTATAGTCACAAAGTATTAAATAATACCACAGAATGTAAACTATCACTACAAAGTGTTAACTATAGCCACAAAGTATTAAATATTACCACAGAATGTAAACCATCACTACAAAGTATTAACTATAGCCACAAAGTATTAAATATTACCACAGAATGTAAACTATCACTACAAAGTATTAACTATAGCCACAAAGTATTAAATATTACCACAGAATGTAAACTATCACTTCAAAGTATTAACTATAGCCACAAAGTATTAAATATTACCACAGAATGTAAAACTATCACTACAAAGTATTAACTATAGCCACAAAGTATTAAATATTACCACAGAATGTAAACTATCACTACAAATTATTAACTATAGCCACAAAGTATTAAATGTTACCACAGAATGTAAACTATCACTACAAAGTATTAACTATAGCCACAAAGTATTAAATATTACCACAGAATGTAAACTATCACTACAAAGTATTAACTATAGCCACAAAGTATTAAATATTACCACAGAATGTAAACTATCACTACAAAGTATTAACTATAGCCACAAAGTATTAAATATTACCACAGAATGTAAACTATCACTACAAAGTATTAACTATAGCCACAAAGTATTAAATATTGCCACAGAATGTAAACTATCACTACAAAGTATTAACTATAGTCACAAAGTATTAAATAATACCACAGAATGTAAACTATCACTACAAAGTGTTAACTATAGCCACAAAGTATTAAATATTACCACAGACTGTAAACTATCACTATAATGTATTAACTATAGCCACAAAGTATTAAATATTACCACAGATTGTAAACTATCACTACAAAGTATTAACTATAGCCACAAAGTATTAAATATTGCCACAGAATGTAAACTATCACTACAAAGTATTAACTATAGCCACAAAGTATTAAATATTAGCACAGAATGTAAACTATCACAACAAATTGTTAACTATAGCCACAAAGTATTAAATATTGCCACAGAATGTAAGCTATCACTACAAATTGTTAAATATAGCCACAAAGTATTAAATATTACCACAGAATGTAAACTATCACTACAAAGTGTTAACTATGGCCACAAAGTATTAAATATTGCCATATAATATAACCTATCACTACAAAGTATTAACTATAGCCACAAAGTATTAAATATTAGCACAGAATGTAAACTATCACCACAAATTGTGACCTATAGCAACAAAGTATTAAATATTGCCACACGATGTAAACTATCACCACAAATTGTTAACTATAGCCACAAAGTATTAAATATTAGCACAGAATGTAAACTATCACCACAAAGTGTTTACTATAGCCACAAACTATTGAATATTATCACAGAATGTAAACTATCACTACAAAATGTTAAGTATCATCACATACAAACTAAAACAAAACTACGTATCATAACTTGATAATAATAAACAATATAGGAACAATATTATAAGCTTTGGAAACAGTTTCCACAAAATTGGTACTCACCATGTTCTCACAAATGATGTATAGACCATTTTCTCACATACTTAGCACACACCAAGTTCTCACATAATTAGTGCACACCAACTTCTGATATTAGTACACACAAAGTTCTGACATACTTAGTACACACCAAGTTCTCAAATAATTAGTATAGACCAAGTTCTCACATACTTAGTAAACCGCTCCGCTGGCCTAGTGGTTAAAGCGTCCGCCTCAGACGCAGGAGGTCGTGGGTTCTAACCCCGGTCGAGTCATACCAAAGACTTTTTTAACAAATGGTACTAACAACGCTCAGCATTAAGAGGTTAGTGTCAGGACTGTTTGGCCTGGTTTTAAGATAATGTAACTGGGTGGGACATAATGCTACATGTCTGCGGCATGATGCCCCAGTGCTAGACATCACTATAAACTGTCACAATGCATACATTGTAGTGATATGGCTGCAAAATTGTTAAAGCTACGTTAAAAATCTAAATCAAGCATCACACACACATACTTAGTACATACTAAGATCTCACGTACTTAGTACACACCACGTTCACACATTAGTACATACTAATTCTCACATAATTAGTACTCACCAAGTTCTCACATATTTAGTACTCACCCAGTTCTCACATATTTAGTACTCACCAAGATCTCACATTAGTAGACACCAAGTTCTCACATGATTATTATAGACCAAATTATCATATACTTAGCGCACACAAAGATCTCACATACTTCGTTTATGACATAATTAATATAGACCAAATTCTCAGATACTTAGTGCTTTCCAAGTTTTCCATTCTTTTAAAGATAAGAATTAAATATTAGGCTTTCTAAAAGGTCACAACCCTAGCTTAAGTGACTATAACAATTGCTTGAAAATGAATTAATAATGATATGCCATTTAAAAAGGTTTTTCTCTTGCTGAAACAATGCGTCGTTAAGCGTATTCTGTTGATAAGAAAACATCCCGCTGGAATCAGGTAACAGGAGTCAGACATTGAAGAGCGGTCATTTCAGGTCAGCGCTTCCGATTTTATTCCTCCCGTTGGATAGGTTTATCTAAAATGGACGGGAATCTGGGTTCTGCTTTACCTGTTAATAAAAGGACATTATCAAAACGGACTATCTTAACCGACGGAAGCTGATCCAATCATCAGAAGGTTGGAAAGCTATGCCACATGAAGACCAATGTTGCCATGGAAACTTAACTGACACTTTTTTAGTGTAATTGTTCTTGTTTGAAAATTATATATTTGGATAGATCATTTATAGCAAACGAAAAACCTAACATTTTGGGTGTGATTAATATGTCATTTTGTGTTATTCTAAATGGGCGCCTCAGTCTAACACATATTTGAATATAATACTGAAGCACATATCAGAATCCTACTTACCTCATCTTGGGTTTTACCACTTTCGCTTTACCTCATCTAGTATAAATAGCAGTTCCTATTTACTCATCCAGTATGTTACCAACTTAGCCATCTCAGCACAAACATGGAGCGTGTCCCTATTATGGCTATTAAAATGAATGAAATCTTTTGATTGAATTAATAACATATGTTCACATTTTCTTCGTTAAGAGTTATTTTCATTTATCTTTTTTTTGTTCAAATGAGCGGGTCAGAGTTTCAGTGTCTAATTTCAACACGTTTTGTTTCTGAATGTCGTTATGTTCAAAAATGTTACATCCATGAAAATTTCAAAACGCGGAAATATTCTCAAATATGATGTCTTGCATCAAATGTCCACCTTTGTCTTAAAATTATATTTGTCTTGCTCGCCTTCAGCTTCAGTGTAAAAAGATCAAACTAATATTTAAAAGTAGGTTTTTTAATAAAAAGATCTTCAATAGTTTAATGATGTTGCCACAAATTCCAATATTTTTTTTCCTTAAGTATGTTCTTTATTAATTGACGTGTATCTTAATGTGATGAGCAATAAGTAACATATACTATGCAAAGAGTATGTTATTTATTGTTCATCACATTAAGATACCCGCCAATTAATAAAGAACATACTTAAGGAAAAAATTAATTGAATGTTTGGCAACAGCATTAAACTGTTGAAAATATTAAAGAAAACTACATATAATAAGTAAGATACACTTTGCAACGAAGGCTCTCGAGTGGCCGAGTGGTTTAAAGCGCTCTTCTTTACGGATTAATGCCATCTCACCTCTGTCTGCGTTGGTGCGAGTCTAAGACTCGGTGAATGTGAATATGTGAGAAAGCTTGCCAGTAGCTGCTCGTAGGTCGGTGTTTTTTTTTCCCCGCGGATTTCCCGGTTTCTTCTTCCATCATTAATACTGGTCGCCTATCGTGTACTGAAAAATGGCGTTAAAACCCCTGAACAACAACTTTGCAATGATTTTGATGCGTCTCAAATTAATACGCCTACACTATACGAAAAACGTCACCTTAATTGAGCCAAGACTCTAGTATCTGTAACTATCTATTCCATACTGATAAAAATTTAAATTAGTGAAACATGAAAAAGCCATGTCAAATTTACTGATGCAATTAAGGGGCATTATGTTACTTCGCACAGGGTGTTTTCCATCGCATGCTGAGTACAACAATAAGCGAGTTAACCTCAAAGATAATAGTCACAAATTAGTACCGTCAAAAGCTATTCACATGACACTAGCAATAAGTGATTAGTTTCCAGCTGCCGTACGCTGTTCTTACCACATCAAGCATGAGCATCCAGTGAGAATCACTACCAGAAGAACATGGCGTTTAAAGGTGACAAAATGTTCCAGATCGTTGGACTCAGTGGCTATTTTCGATATGTCAATATATTCCGTTTGCTTCCATCTCATATTTTATCCTGCTTAACCTTAATACAAATTTCCAATGCTTAAGTAAAAAATTATCTCAAAATTAGTCGCATACTGTATTGCTAAAATTGCAACAACTACTTATTCAGACAGTTTTAGTCATCTGAGAACACGCCAGATATATGTTTTCTAGACTTGTAACTATTTTTGAACAAAATAAAAATAGAGAACGAATTTTGTTTTAAAAATGATAGTAATTCCTTGAATCCAGCAGAGAGTGCTACAAGAACTAAATTTGATGGAATTCCTGCCGTTAAAAGCTAGTCTGTAAGATATGTACTAAAAGTTAAAATAACATTGTCGGTAAATGTGCCATGCGCAGACAGCTTCACAATTAGTGAGGCTCGTGATTAATATTGATTTGGCACTTAAGTACATATTAAAGTTCTGACCAGATAAGTGTATTAAGTGTAAAGGTTTCAATAGTCTATATTAAGCGTAAAGTGACTTGTTAGTCTTTTTTAAGTGTCAAGTATTTAATAGTTTATACAAATAGTAAACGTCTTGACTAGCCTATATGAAGTATCAAGTGTTTACTAATCTGTACTAAGTGTAAAGTCGTCTATAGCCTATATTAAGTGTCAAGTGTTTACTAATCTGTACTAAGTGTAAAGTCGTCACCAGTCTATATTAAGTGTCAAGTGTTGACTAATTTGTACAAGGTGTAAAGTCGTCACTAGCCTATATTAAATGTCAAGTGTTTACTAATATGTACTAAGTGTAAAGGCGTCACTAGTCTATTTTAAGTGTCAAGTGTTGACTAACTTGTACTAAGTGTAAAGTCGTCACTAGCGTACATTAAGTGTCATGTGTTTGCTAATCTATACTAAGTGTAAAGTCGTCACTAGTCTATATATTAAGTGTCAAGTGTTGACTAATTTGTACTAAGTGTAAAGTCGTCTATAGCCTATATTAAGTGTCAAGTGTTCACTAATCTGCACTAAGTGTAAAGTCGTCACTAGTCTATATATTAAGTGTCAAGTGTTTACTAATCTGTATTAAGTGTAAAGTCGTCACTAGTCTATATATTAAGTGTCAAGTGTTGACTAATTTGTACTAAGTGTAAAGTCGTCTATAGCCTATATTAAGTGTCAAGTGTTTACTAATCTGTACTAAGTGTAAAGTCGTCACTAGTCTATATATTAAGTGTCAAGTGTTTACTAATCTGTACTAAGTGTAAAGTCGTCACTAGTCTATTTAAATTTCAAGTGTTTACTAATTTGTACTAAGTGTAAAGTTGTCACTAGCCTATATTAAGTGTCAAGTGTTTACTAATCTGTACTAAGTGTAAAGTCGTCACTAGCCATATTAAATGTCAACTGTTTACTAATTTGTACTAAGCGTGAAGTCATCACTAGTCTATATTAAGTGTCAACTGTTTACTTGTCAATTCTAAGTGTAAAGTGTTCATTAGTCAATATTAAGATATATTAAGATCGCTCATGTGGTTTAAGTGTTTAAAGCGTTCGCTTCGGGAACAGGAGGTTGCGAGTTAGAACCTCTTTAAGCGGTTTGTGCTAGGACTGGATTACTTGGCGTCAGGATAATATGACTGGGTGGAACATGATTCTTTATGACTGTCATGATGCCCCATTTAAAGATATCACTATAAACTGTCACACTGCAGATATCGTTGCGACATGATTTAAAACTTATAGAAGCTATGTTAAAAGTCCAAATGGCACACACACACACACACACACACACACACACACACACATATATATATATATATATATATATATATATATATATATATATATATATATATATATATATATATATATATATATATATATACGTACGTACGTACCTACGTATGTATGTGTGGATGTATATATATATATATATATATATATATATATATATATATATATATATATATATATATATATATATATATATATGTATATATATATATTTACTAGTCAATGTTAAGTGCAAAGTGTTTACTTATCAATATGAAGTGCACCATCGTTACAAGTCCATAGTAAGAGTAAATTCTTTATTGCTCATTATCAAGGACAACGTGTTCACTAGTCCTATAAGAGCAAAGTCTTTAATAGTTATGTGAATAGGAAAGCCTTTCGCAGTCTTCTTGAAGAGCAAAATGTTTAATAATCCTATAAATTGCAATGTCTTTGCTAGTGGTATGAAGTGCAAAGTGTTTACTAGTATTATGGAGTGCAAAATGATCCTTTGTCTACATCAAGTGTAAAGCGTATGCTCGTCTATATTATCAGCAAGTTATTGTTCATTAAGAACTTTGTCCAGTATCTGACCTTTTGTATCCTGATTCCGTTGGCGATCTGTATTTGTAAGACCGCATATATCCGAAAGAAATCAGCAGTATTTGTCCGTTGTTGGCAGTTGTCAATCACCGTTTTTATCAGTCTATGGTCGAAAAGTTCATAAAGGAAT